TCTCTCTCTCTCTCTCTCTCTCTCTCTCTCTCTAACACAAACATTGTATAAAGTGGATAATCATATGAGACATTTGTTTGCTAATACAATATATACATGTAATGGTAAAATGAATGATACCTTCAGCTGCTCTTTCCTGCCAATTATTTTTGTTGTCTTCAAGACATTGAATCCAAGGTCTATGCATTTTGTTTGTTTTTATTGTAGTTACAGGACTTCTTGATGCTAACGGAGCACTCGATGACGATCTATATCACACATAATCATGCATTGAATTCATTATAACTATTTATTTATTCTTATATCTTTCATAATAATAATAACATTAAAAATTACCTAAAATTTGTTGAATCAGTTCCTGAATCTAATGACAGGTTATTTCGTTGAGTGCTTCTAAGAGACGCCGACGAAGATTTAGTTCTCGTTTTAAATTCTAAATGAATGTCTGAATCATTTTTAGTGACCACTTCTTGAGATCCGTTTATGTGAGCAATGACTCGATCGATGAGATCTCCACACAATTCCATTGTTGGCCCGACAATGAAGTCTATAAAACCTATTCATCACAATTCAATTTTATAATTATTTTTTATACTTTTAATTACATAATATTACATTGTATATACAGCCAGAAAAAGTGCGTTTTGGTGCTTTATTCACAGAAAAAACAACTTATTTCATTAGAAATATTAAAGTTGTGTTTAATAAAGCATTGAATCATTCAATGAATCAAACATTACTTTATCTAAAGTTAAGTTTTTCTGTGAAGAAAGCACCAAAACGCACTTTTTTCTGGCTATAATTGTATATAACTTATTAATATATCATTTTTACAGAAAATATTATATTTTTTATTATAACTACAAATATTCATTAATTAATATAATGCATATAATTTACTGTAAACAGCATACATTTAATTAAATTTACTTATGCACCAATTAAGATATGGATAATTAATGTTTACAAAATTAAAAATTAGATCTTAAATTTTAAATTAATTCATTTATTTAGTGAACGTGAAATATAACGTTAATTTTAATAATTATTGTTGTGCATTCTAACGACACTAATTTTTCAATTTGTTTGCATTTTAAATAGTGTTTTCTACTCGTATTTCTCAAAATATTAATTTAAGAATAAACAATAATATGCAAAAATATAGAATAAAAGCAATAATATAAAAATATTGTCAATGTATATACAATAGAATGCATTTATAGAATGCATTTATAGAGCATGTATTGCAAATCTCATACCTATTTGAGACTGTGGTATTAGAGTAGAGGTGCGATCACATAATGGTGAATAAGGCAGTCCGAGCTCTTTCTCCATATCTCCCTAAACGGACACAACGGACACAACGGATACAATTGACACAATGTTTTATTGATTCAATGTTTAAAAAGATAATTTCCTGTTTATTATAATATCAAATGATGGAAACCTGTCTGAAAAACTCTTCCATCAAAAGTTTGGTCCATTTGTAGTGAAGATTAAAGCATTTGCTGGGATGGCTTATGTCAGAGCTGTGCAATATATATGCCAGTCCTTTAGATTTATCGATATTAAACTCCGTGTGTCCTAAAAGTGTTTTCAATGTCTTTATTTGTTGAAAATGTGAGGACATGTCAGTCGCTAAAACCATATCAATAACTAGAGTCCGAAATTCTCTATAAAAATTGAGAAATTTCAAATTTATTTCTAAAAAAATTAATTATAATAGATGATTTTGTAAAATATGTTGATAATTAAATGAATGGTAGAAATGATATGAATGATAGGAATGATATGAATGATAGGAATGATATGAATGATATGAATGATAGGAATGATAGTAATGTATGAATAGATCAATACCTATACTCTTCTTTACTTAAATTGATGAGAATATTAGAATCGTTTTCTCGCATCACTTTGAAGGCGGCGCTGATGTGATAATTCTCCAGAACTGACCGATCATTATATACTAGTGTTATATCGGAACTAAAACATCAAACCATAGTTTAACCAAAAACTGATATTTTTGCAAAATATATTTCATGTTATCAAAATGTCATTTTATAGACCACTGACCCGGACATGACATGGAAATTATTAGTAGTGCCCGTGTGCTGGTAGTCGTGTATTATGGCTGCGACCAGTGTTGCAAATATTTCCAGATCTGAGAGCCATTGCTGTCAAATTATGGACAATACATATTATATTAAATGCATTCACAAATCATTATAGCGATGGGACCCGTAATATATCAGATAAATGATAACACCTTAACTGTCAAAACATTTAAAACTGTCAGAATTAGCGTTACCAGAAAGTCAAGGAATTCCTTGATAGTTAAGGAAATAGAGTCTTAGATCAAAGTTCAATGAAATGTTTAAGGAATTTTATTTTTGGAATTGTTATATAAATACTGTAAAAAATTAAAAGATTTCAAATTTAATTATAAATGTATAATATCGATATAGGCGTTGCAACATCTAAAACCCCGATTCTGAATATAATTTAGTTAATAATTCAATTATCTTGTTAATTCATATTTTTAAAACATTTTAGGTATAATTATAGGTATTTTAGGAACGTTCAAGGAATTCTTATAAATGTGTCAAGGAAAATTTGCATTAAAAATAAATTTATCATGGAAATTAAAATTTTGATCTGGGAACACTAGTCAGCACATTATTGTATTTTTGTTTCATATTATATGTAACTCATTGTTATGTCCATTTCAATAATATTTTCCATATATTGTTACATCAAATATAATGACTTTCATTAAAATGAATTTTTATTAAAGTAAAGAATATACTGTACATGTATGTTTCTGAAAAGTTTCATATACATGTACAAATTCTACTGTATACTAAATTTACCAAAAATGATAAATTGTATTTATAGTAAATACCATACCATAAAAATCAAAATATTATTCCTTATTGCATAAAGTTATATTAGAAAACTATTTACATAATGTTTAAATGTAAATATATTTATCATATTTTAACCATTACTTCAAATATAGATTATATAAGTATCGGAATTATTCTTTTATTATAGAAGTATTGGAATGTCTGCTCTAATAAACAAAACATATAACTTATATGATATAAGTTTAGTTTAGTTTTCAAAAATAAGCTATTGGTCGAAAAATTATTATTGCTAACAAATTGTAATTTAACCAGATATAAGTTAATAGACTACAAGATTGCTCTGATATCCTACGCTTTATAGCAATGTTTAGGTTAGAGAAAATTCCTTTTTATATTAGGAAAATATGACCGCCACCAAGATAGATTTAAAAATATATTTAAAACAAATCTTCTATGATTTTACCTAATATTTTTGGCCACAATACATTTTGCTCGATCAGTCAAATTATTACAGCAACTGTAGTGTTATGTAACATTGAATTGTGTCTATAAACAGTACAGTACATACTTATATACTGTACAGTACAGTATTACATACTTCATCGTACAGTATGTGAACTAAAATGTAATGTTTGATCAGTTTTCGCTCACTTTAATTAAGTCTTTCAATGATATGATTGGAAAGAATATAATCAATAGAATAACTGAGACATGAATGTATGTCTCATATATACAGTAGTGGTTGTGTTACTTCATGTGAGGCAACAAAACATTAATTTTCTTTTATATCAATATATCTGATAAATATGAATCTTATGGCTATTGTGGGCCACTTTTCTCATCTTTTGATAAGTTTTTCATTAATTATTATTAGTTTTATATAAATACTTAACACTTTAGTTATAAATAAAAGCAAACAATTTATGAAACCTAATAATTGATTAAAATATAATTATTCCGAATGTCATTTTTCTAAACCAATATCAAACGAATTGAAATTAAAGACTAAACATTTAACGATTATATTTTTAAATTATAATTAAATAATTCAAAGATTAAAACTACAATAAATGGACTATAAAATTATATACACAATATACTTACAAATTAAAGAATATTTGTTGTTATTATTAACTTATATATGAATTTATAAATAAAATATTATATTAATGCATACTATTATATCCTAT